GCTGGCAGCTGCCGCGCGTGGACAGCCGGCCGCGCAGCTCCCACAGTTGGTGGCACAGCTCGCCGTACGAGGGGGCCGCCGCCGCGCCGGCAGCGGCCGCAGCAGCGGCGCCCCTGTCAGACGAAACAGCGGCTGCCGCGGCCTCAAAGGACGAGCCCTTGGAGCCGCGCGCGTGGGCCGCCCCGCCGGGGCGGTGGTGGTGCCGCTGCGCGAGCGCGCGCGGCCGTGGAGGGCGGGGCTCGGCCCCGCCACCAGGCCGGTCGTCCGCTGCCTCCTCCACTGCAGCCCCAGAGCCCTTCCAGCCATCGCCGCCCGAGTCGGTCAGAGCTTTGACCGACCGCGCCGCACCCATGCGGATGGGCGGCAGCGCGCCGCTCGCGCCGCTGCTGCCGCCCGGCGCGCCCGCCTCCCCGGCGCGCTGCGGCTTGCCGCCCCGCAGCGGCCGGCCCGCGCGCGGCCGGCTGAAATCCGCGCTGCTCGCGAGCTGGGGTTCCGCGTCCCACGCCCCCTGCCCCCCGCCGCCGCCGCCGCCGCCTGCGGCACCAGCCGCCGCCGCTGCCGCCGCCGCCGCGGCCGCGACGCCGGCGCGCTGCGTGAGGAACACCCTGTCGTCGACGCGCGCGCCCGCGTCGGCGCCGTCGTCCGGCTCTGAGGGGCGGGGGCTGGGGGGCCGCACCGTTTCGAATTCGATCGGCACCTGGTCGCGGCGGGGGCGGGGGCCGAGGCGCGCCACCAGGTCATCCAGAATCTGCCGTGGGGGTGTTTTGGTTTTTGAGAGGGTGGGGGGCGCTGGTGTTGCGCAGTGCTGGTCGAGTCAAAGAAGCTTTGGCGGCACTGGGCGGCAGCGGTTCACTCGTTCGGGGCGTTTCTGGCTAATGCCTGCCGACCGCCGTCGGCGAGGGCGCAGACGCATGCACGGAGCCGCGCGAGCCATGCGTACGGGCATATCAGCAAAACAGGCGCGGGCGGTGCGGTCTTCAGGGGTGGGTGCCAAATCAACTGAACGCAGCCGGCTGCGCGCCCCCCACCGACCTCGTCGAGCGCCTCCAGTGCCAGCGGCTGGCAGAGCGTCCAGTAAGGGTCGCCCTCCGCCGCCCCACTGCCACTGGCCGCCCCACCGCCGCTGGCCGCCCCACCGCCGGCCTGGCTGGCTGGCTGCGACGAGCCCGGCGCGGCAGGCGGGAGCGCGCCCGGCTGCTTGTGGGGGGGCGGCGCGGCCGCGGAGCGCGCGCCCCCGCCGCCGCCCGAGCCGCTCCCCTCTGTGCCGCTGCCCCGCGTCGCAGTGGACCAAGCATCCAGGGCAAGCCCAAAGTTGCTGTTAGCAGGCGGGGGCAGCGCGGCCGTAGGGGCAAGTGTGAACGGGGCTGCGGCGGCGGGTGCGCGGCGCGGCGCGTGCGGGGCGCGTCCGGGAGACCCTCCCTCTCTCACTCTGGGGGCGTGCCTCCTGGCAGGGCGCCCGAGGCGGCGCCGCTGCTGCCGCTCGTGCGGTGCCGCGACCTGTCGCCGCTCATCGCGGCCGGGGCAGGCGGCGCGCAGCAGCGGCGGCGGCGGCGGCGGCGCGGTCAGCGCAGCGGGTTGACCGGGGGGGAAAGGCGAGGGGGAGCCGTATTGCGGGGCTGGTTTGTTTGTTTTGTGTATGCTGGAACCCTGCCGCGTGCTGCTTTGCGTACATACAGGCAGAAACCCCCGCGCTTCTGCGCCCCGCGACCCCGCGCCACGGCAATATGGGCGCCCCAAGCGAAGCTACGCTGGCAGGGGCTCAGCACGCGGAGCAGGCACTGCCTCTATCGCCACTGGAGGCGCTGCACGTGCGTTTGGGGGCCGCACGCGCTGCCGTCGGGCGCGCGCGCCGCGCCGCTGCCGCTGTCGCCCACCACCACCGCCGCGCGCCGCCCTTGCTTGCCCGCCTGCGCAGCGCTCCCAAAGCACGCGCGCCCAGCGGACCGCGCCGGCCAACCCCCTCTCCACCGCCCGCCGCCGCCGCCGCGCCCGCCCGCAGCTGCGCGCGGTGCTGTCCGCCGCGCTCGAGCGCCTCGCGCTGGTCGGCGCGGCCAACGTCGACGCCGCGGCGCAGGCGCAGGCCCTCAGCCGCAGCGTCGGCGACGAGATCGGGCGCGTCATGGCGGAGCAGCGGGAGCTGGAGGGGCGGTTCGAAGAGCTGGTCGCGGCGCAGCACGAGCTGCGGGCCCAGCCAAACAAGGCCCGGCTGCAGGCCAACGAGGTGCGCCGCGCTTTGCCGCCGTCGGTCAAAGCCTCCTATCTCCGCCTTGGGGGGGGCTGACAAGTGGCTACCGCATGCGCGCCGCTACCGGGGCCCGGCGGAGGGTCGCGTTTTTTCAAGTATGCCAGCCGGGTGCGAGCGACGCGCGCGCATGGCGCGCGGCCAGACGCCAAGCCCCGCGCATCCCGCCCCCGCCGCCCCAACCCGCGCCTCTCCGCCCACGCCCCCCGCCCCCGCCCCGCAGGCGCAGCTGGCGCTGGTGTCCGAGGCGCTGCGCGCGGCCACGCAGCGGCTGTGCCGGAGCCTCAGGGACAACCTCAACGTGGCGGACAACATGGCCAAGGCGCGCACCCCCACGCGGGCCCGCGGTCAAAGCTCCCAGGCTCCCTGGGTTGGGCCTTGCAGGCCCGAGCCGGGGGCCCCCGACGAGCCAAAAAGAGAGGCTGCTGCGTTCAGCCCAGCGCGTGCGTGCATTGTGGTGACCTTGTTGAGCCCGCGTGCACACGGACATGGGCTACGCAGAAAACTCGGGCCCGAACGCCGGCGCCCCCGCAGGTGGCGAACGAGCGCGCCGACGTGGCGGCGCTGCTGGCGGCGACGGTCGAGGCGCTGCGCGTCGGGGCGGGCGCGCCGCCGCCCAGCGTGCTGCCCGTGGCGGCGGCGGTGCTGGCCCAGGAGCGCGAAGAGGTGCGGCCCTGCGCAGGCCAGCGAGCGGGAGGGAGCGGTTTTTTTCCTGTGTTGGATGGAGCCGAGGACTGCTGGCCGCAAGCCTGCAGTCTAAGCTTGCTCCCAGGCCCTTTCTCTCTTTTCCAAGAGCCCCGAGGCTGGCTCCAAGCTGGCCCCGGGTACGAAAACCCTGCAACAAAACGCCGCGCCAGGCGGCCGCGCGGGAGCTGGGCGACGCGGAGCGCGGCGCCACGGCGGCGGTGCGGCAGCTGCGGCAGGACCTCTCCAGCGAAAAGGCCGCGCACGACGAGGCGGTGAGCGCCGCGCAGCGCGGCGAGGCGCGGGGGGCCTCGCATACTGCTGTGCCACACTGGCTCAGGCTGTGGGGTCGATGCGGGGCCGGGCAGCTGCCTTGATGCCACATTGGCGGCCGCGGCGGCAGCTGTGCACATTACGCCCATCAGACACCGCGTTTGGTGCACCTGCGAACGATTCAACCTTCCTTGCTCACAAGGCTTGCCCCGCCACTGCCCCTTCCCGCGCACGCGCCAGATGCGCGAGAAGCGCCTGGCGCTGGCGGCGCTGAAGGAGCAGCTGCGCGTCGACAGGCTGCGGCTCGCGGTGGAGGGAAGGTGGGAGCTGGGGGGGCGGGGCAAAACCGCCGCCGGCGCTGCTGCACGTGCGCCGGCGCGCGCACGGCGCAGGCCTTGCAACCTCAAGGCAGAGGGCCGCCGCGCGGCCCGGCTCGGCCAGCAGGGCCCTCTGTCAAGTAGCGCGTGCTTGGGACAAAGCATGCCCTTTTTGCCGCGCTGAAACCGCCCCGCACGCCCCGCGCCGCGCCGCGCCCCGCAGGCACCACGCAAAGGACCTCGCCGCCGCCAACCAGTGCGCGCGCCGCCTGCAGCGCGCCGAGCTGGCCTCCCTCTCCGACGCGCTCGCCCTGCTGCGCCAGCAGATCGAAATCGAGCGCAGCGGCGCAGCGGCGGCGGTGGAGCACCTCTCGCGGGCGGCGGCGGCGCGGCAGGACGACGCGGTGGGGTGGGGGTCGAGGCGGGAGGAGGATGCCCACGCCAAGGAGCGGGCAATTGAGGTGCGGCGGGGCTGGTGCTTGCTGCATGTGCGCATGGCCGCTCACGCGCGCGTGCGTTTGCCGTGGTGAGTGGTGTTGTGTTTCCAAGGCCTCGGCATGGGTTGGCAAGCGGCGCGATGATTCCTTCACCGGCCGCCGCCCTTTGACCCCCTCCGCCGCCACCAGGTCGTGCGCGCGCAGCACCAGCGGGACGCGATGCGGCTGAAAGACCTGGAGACGCGGCTGGGGGAGGAGCAGGAACTCAAGGTGCGCGGAGTTTGGGGTGGGGGGGAGGGGGGGGTGAGGTCGCGAATCTGGCTGCGTTTTTTTTGGGGGGGGGGGAGTGCGCCAAAGTAGACGCATGGAGGGCATGCATAGCGAAACGACCGCCCCGCCGGCCCCTCTTGACGGAACGGCGCGCGGCAAACGCGGCACCAGGCGCGCCGGGACGAGCGCATGCGCGAGGAGGCCGAGGCGGCGGAGCGCGCCGCGGCGGACGCGGTGCGGCGGCTGCGCGCCGCCCTGCGGATCCAGGCGGCGTGGCGCGGCGTCAAGGTGCGTGGGGCTGGATGGCTGTGTGTGCGTGCGCGCTTGTCCTTGAGTGCCGTCCGTCGATTCCGGCAATTGGCGCGAATCAGTCCCCAACGTGCCGCAAAGCTCGTTGTTTCTCATCCTAACGAACCGTCCCTCAACATCCCCCCCCCCCAGGCGCGGCGGCAGCTCCAGGCTGGCAAGGGCACCAAGAAGGGCGGCGGCAAGGGCAAGAAGGGCTCGGGAAAGAGGTGAACAGGGTGCGCCCCGCACTTGCTGTTGGCCTGCAGCGTGTAAACATCGAATTCCAAGCGGCGCTGCACGCAAACCCATCTGCAAACCAAAGCGCACTAGCCCCACGCCCCAGGGCCCCCTGGCCTAACGATGATGGTGCTTATGGCTTTATTTGCGATGATGCCATGATAATTTGATACTATTTATTTGGTTTTCACCGCGCCGGCTAAACCCTGTTGTGTGTTCTATATTTGTTAGTGGGTCTGGCTGGTACCGAACGCATCCATGGTGTAGTTGGTTATCACGTTCGCCTCACACGCGAAAGGTCCCCAGTTCGAACCTGGGTGGATGCATTTTTGCATTCACCCACCCCCCCCTGTTTTCTCGTTGGATTACAACAGCCTGCTGAAGGGCGTCCCCTGCTGATTGACTCGCTTATGTTAGTTGAGGAGGGCTGAGCTGACAACAACCTGGACGTGGCTTAAAAGGGTTCCACGCGGTCATCGGTTGAAACACACGGCCTTTGCTGCAGCGGAGGAGCAAGTGGTGGTTGGCTGCTGCAGCCAGGGCTCGTCCAGCTGACTTTTCATGACAGACGTGGGTCTGGCCACAGCAGGGATCAATCAACAAGGTATGAAGACAGGCAAAATGCATCCACCCAGGTTCGAACTGGGGACCTTTCGCGTGTGAGGCGAACGTGATAACCAACTACACCATGGATGCCGGCGAATGCACCTCGTCACCGCTCACGGCCTTCTCAACCCCGACGCGCTTATGAAAATTGAGGCGAAAAACGGCCTCTACTCGCTACTCCAATGGTCGCAAACGGTCGCTAGAGGTCCAGGGAGTCTTTCGGAGCCGTGCTGCAGGCTGGCGGCCGCCGCCACGCGCAGCCTCGGACAGAAACGACGCCCTTCGTGCCCCGAGGGTGACTGAGGGCAGGCGTATATCCCGTGAAATGCCTCTAAAACGCATTATGGGTTGTACCTCCAGCCTTCCAGTCCCGGAAACGGCGTTGGGGTCGCAGCTGCGCGAGTTGCGACGGCATGCGCGGCCCGGGGAAGGTCCTGCCCCGCAGGACCGCGACAAACACGCCTGATGATGTCGACCTTGCAGCGGCGGCGGCCGCGGGGGCGCCGGCAGCGCGCTGCGCCGCGTCCGATGCAGCGCTGGCTCAGGCTGCCGCGCCGCGCGCCGCCCAGGCGGTGCCGCCCCAGCCGCTGGTGGGCATCAAGGCCGCCGCGTCAACGGCAGCCCGCCGCAGCCGCTGGCGCTGCGCGCCGTGGCTGCAGCAGGATGCCGACGGCCTCAGCGGCGGCGGCGGCGCCGCCGCCGCCGCTCCGCAGGTCATTGCCGTGGCAGAGGTTTGGCCCAAGCAGCTCACGGCCGCAGGGGCCGCGGCTGCCCTGCGGCGCGGCGGGCCCGTGGTCCTGCGCGGCACGAGGCTCGGCGCCTGCGCGCTCGCGCCCGCGCCGCCGCGCCGCGAGGCCGCCGCCGGGGTCGCCTCGGACGCGCGCGCCGCCGGCGGCGGCGACAGCGCCGGCGACCAGGACGCCGGCGGCGGCGCCGGCGGAGGCCCCTCGCTGTGGCGGCGCGAGCATCCGGCCGGCCCAGCCGCCGCGGCAGGCTCGGCCACCCCGGCGGCGGCGGCGGTGCTTGCGAGTCCCGCATCCAGTGCGCGCTTCATGCGCTGCGACGCCTCGAAAAACGCCCCCGGAGCTTACTACGAGCTGAGGCGCCCCGAGCGCAAGGGCCGCCCGCTGCCGGGCGTGGGGCTGGACGAGTGGCGGCGCTGCTGGCTGGATTGGGAGGCCCACAAACTGCTGCTTACGGTGGGCGCCGCCGCGCCGCCGCGCCGCGCGCGGGTTGGCGCAGCACGCTCTCGAGCTGCGGCGTTGCGGAGACGCAGTTCTCACTCAACTCGGGTTATTTGCTGACACTGCTAGCTAGCCACCCTGCGAACACACGCGCCCGCCCACGCGCGCCCCGGGCCGCAGGTCGACGTCTGCAGCTGGGAGCTGCTGCCCAGCGGCGGCGGCGGAGGCGGCGGCGGCGGCGGCGGCGGCGGCGGCGGCGGCGGCAGCGGCGCGCGCGCCCGCGTCCACCCGAGCGCCCGGCACTGGGCAGAGCTGTCGCGCCTGCTGTGCGCCGCGCCCGACGTGCAGCCGGCCGCCGCGCCCGACAGCGGCGCTGCTGCGGCCTCGAGGCGGCTGGCAGAGGGCCTGCTTGATTGGCAGCAGCTGCAGCTGCTTGCGACGGTGCGGTTGCGCGGTGGTGGTTTGTTTTTGGCACGCATTTGCTCTGCCAAAGGGATCGATGGCAAAACCAAAGCTTACCATTGAACAACGTACGCCTCCCCCGCCTCCACCCTGTTGCCTCAAGTGCTTGACAAACCACCGGCCTGCCTCTCTGCCCACCCTCGGTCGCTCTGCCCCCCCAACCCAACCCAAACCCCGCCCCCCCCCCGCCCGAAAGCAGGCCGGCGGCTGGTCCGCGGAGGGCTCTGTCGCGCTGCGGGCAGGCCCCGCAGGCTGCCTGCTGCCGGCGCGGTACGAAACGCACGACACCCTGGTCGCCCCGATCGCGGGCGCCTGCCGCGTGCTGCTGGTGCCACCAGAGGCGGTGCGTGCGCCGGCGCGCGCGCTGACGTGGCGCTCGTGCGTCCGGTTTCGTCCGCGCGTGCTGCCGGGTGCGTTTTCGCGACACAACCCGTGGCTCCTCCTTTGCCGCGCATCTCCACACCTTCCTGCACACCTGAAAACATACCACTCCCCAACCCCAACGCGCAAAAAAACAAGGCGTTCCGCGGCGCGGTGCCCTACCCAGTGGCCCACCCATACGACGGCTACAGCTGCCTCGACTTTGAGCACCCCCAAACCGAGGCGTGGCCGAGGGCACGCGAGGTGGGTGCCCGGCGCTTGCCGGCGGCGCCGCCGCGGCTGAGCAGCGCTGCGCGCTGCTGGGACGCCTGGTGCTTGCTGTTCTGGGGCCTGCAGCTGGCTCGTCAAACAGCGCGGTCAAACAGCGCGGTCAAACAACGCGGTCAACACAACAACACAACGCGACCCAAATCGCCCCGCAGGTGCGGGGCGCCGTCGTGGACCTGGGACCCGGCGACACGCTGCTGGTGCCCGCCTTTTGGTTTGCGCACACGGAGCTAAGGCAGGGGCCTGCCGCCGCGCCGCCCCGAGACGCCGGCGACAGCGCTGCAGGCAGCTTCCGCGGCAGCGCCGCGCTGCTGGTGCGGCTGCGGGGCGCGGCCGCCGGCGGGCCGAGCGGCGAGGGCGGCAGCCGCTGCCGGCCGCTGTCGGACGGCGCGCTGCAGCTGCAGTGCTCCCGAATGGTCGAGGCGGTGGTGGCGGAGGAGGCCGGCGACGCCAATGTGCGCGCGTGGCTCGAGGTGGGCTTTCTTTGCGGTGCGCCGCGTGGGCGTGTTGGGCGCAGCTTGTGGGCGGCAGGTCTGGGTTGGGCTTAGGGATGCCGCTCAGCTTGTGAAGCCAGCTGCATGCCTGGCATGTGTGAGCCACTGAGGTGTGATTTAATCCCCCGCCAACGACGAAATCCGCCCCCCGCCGCTGCTGCAAAACAACATTGCGCTCCCCGCCGCAGCGCCTGTCCGAGGGGCGCGAGTGGTCGCACCTGGACCTCAGCACCCCGCGCGGCTCCCGGCTGCTGCGCATGTGCGAGCTGGTGCTTGAGCAGGTGGGGAGGCAGGAGCGTTTTTTTGGGGGGGTGGGGGTGGATTGCACATGCCATGGAGTGCCTAGATTAGCTTGTGCATTGTGGGGGGCGTATTAAAGCCTACTTCATAAGCTCAAACTGTGGGCTTGTTAGAAACACGCCGCCGCGCGCGTTTCCCGCGGCTGTTTGACAGACCCGCTGCGTGGTGGGGCTGCTGGACGGGGCGGCTTTGCGGGCGCTGGCCGAGGAGGGGCGCGCTTGCGTCGCGCGGCGGCGCGAGGCCGCGCGCGGCCCCTGCCCCGCGCTGCCAGCCCCGCGACGGCCCGACGGCGGCGGCGACGAGGCCCCCCTGCCGGATCAGTCCGGGGACGGGGGGCCCCCCGGGCCTTTTGAATGCTGCGGCGCAAAAAGCGGCGCAGAGGCGGCGGCGTGCAGCTGCAGGGCCGCGGCGGAGCGGGGCGGCGCCGGTGGTGCGGCGCCGGGGGCCGCTGCGGCCGGCGGCCATGCGGCCGACTGGCGCCTCGTCGACGCGGCGGCGCGCGCGCTGCTGGCGCTGATGTGCGACGGCCGCCTCGTGCCCACGGACTGGCTGAACGAGGTGGGCTTTGTTTCAGTTGTGGGGGCCCTTTCCCGGGATTGCTTTGCACGGTTTGCAAGCCGGCGAGCCGGCGGGCGGGGCTGGGCTGAGGGCGGGGGGTTTTGATTATTCACACCGCTCGACTGCCAGTGCCCCCCGCCCGGTGACCGTCTCTCTCTCTCAAAGGCCGCGCAGCTGCTTCAAGCAGCAGTGCCCAAGTTGAGCGCAAGCCTGCGCCCGCAGCCTCACGCAAGCAAGCACGCACCCACGGCACCAAGCCCCCCGTCCGCAGGGCGCCGACGGCGACGGCGGGCCGCGCCGCTACCTCGTCACCGAAACGGATCCCGAGGCGGCGCGCTACCCGCAGCTCTTCCGCCACCGCCTCGAGTCGGAGCGGCCGGACTGGCGGGAGCGCGCGCTGGCGCTGCCGCCGCCGCGGCCGCGGCTCCCGGGGCTGGGCGGGGCGCGGCCGGCGCCGGCGCTGCCCGCGCCGGGGGGCGGAGCCGGGGCGGGGGCGAGCATCGCAGCCGCCTGAGCTTGCGGCGGCTGGGAGCTGGATAAAGCAGACTGCAGGAAACGGGCGCAACTGCGCCTGTGCTGTAACCGTTGCGAGACACGCACTGCCTTGGAGTTTGCGGCGCCTTGGCAGCTGCCTGCGGGCAACCTGCCTTGCCCCACAAAGCCGCTTCTCGCGTCCCAGGCCGTACACAGGATCAATCTTTGGCGTCCTATCCCTCCGTATTGGCAGTGCTGCAGCTCTCCCCAGGCCTCGGAGGCGCGCCCGGGCGGTGTGATCTGGCGTCCCTCGGGGACTTCAGCACCCCATCGTGCACGTAGACGTAGTTAAGTTGCCAGAGGACCTTCCGGGACAGCAGCCATGTTCGGGCGGGGCCGCGGGAGGGGCAAAAAGGCCCAGCAGCCCGTTTTTGTGGCCGCCCCCGTGCTGGTGGAGGACGTATGGGTCCAGTGCGACAACCCGGACTGCAAGAAATGGCGCAAGCTTCCTCCCGGGTCCAGGGCGCCCCCGGAGGACGTGGAATGGTGCGTCGCAGTGGGGCAGCAGCCTCTCGGGCCCCGATCGGGGGCCCAGGGACC